CAAGCCACATAAACAATCTGTTCCAGCTCCAAGAAGGCAAGGGGCCCATGCCAGCCAGGCAAAGAAGTTGTTAGGCAGCGAGGTTGAAATTGACGTTCTCCTTTGGAGGGTGTACATAAAGGTGCTGCAGTGGTTGAGCAGGTCTTCCCTCCCATCAGGAGGGTAAGGGCTCCACCTGACCCCAGCTTTCTCTGTTGTTTATTTTCTCACTCTCACGGTCCTTACCCCCGGAACAGCCAGAGCTGCAGCCAATGGCTGCACTTCCACACATAGGAGTTCGGGGTGAGTGATCCTGATAGCACAGCCCGTAAGAGATACATTAAGGTGAGCATCCGCTCTCCTCGGCCACTCTTAACAAGACGGGCAGCCTGGCAAGCACCACGGTTTAGAAGAAGACACATTAAGTCGCTGGGATCATGAACTGTAGACACCAACACCACGTTGTTTGCTGTCTACTCTGAGGAGCGTCCTCTCCAGAACCGACTGCCACGCAGAGAAAAGATGACCTGAGGTGACAGCAGTAGGTGAATTCAGCAATGGGTTAATAAAGCGACCCCATCGATGTACTTCCACTGGCCGGCCCCAGCCCCAGCATGCTGTTGCTTTTCCCAAGCCTGACGACTATGCTCCCTTGGGTTATGGACTGAATCCTCCTCCTGCTCGAGGCACCTGTCTCACCATCAATGCCTGCAGAAACTGCAGCAGAGCTTACAATCAGCACAGCAAATAATCCCTATCCCCACCCGCTCCAGGCCCTGATGGCCTGCAGCAGACCCAGGACAGTGGCAGCCAGCTGGACCTCAGGGACACATGAGCACTTCCGGGTCTCATCCCGGAAACCCACCGGCCATCCCATTGCTGTGTCTGTTTTCCTGAGGGTCAGTGTCACACCCACCTTGTCCAATCCCAGGGCCACAGGACAGAAACCGCCAGATGCTGGGCCAGCACTGTCCTGTTTGTGGAGTCCTCTCTCTAACCCAGAGGCCACAATGGCCACCTGGCTTGGAGCCTTGGTTCCTCTCTTGTCATCAAAGCCAACCCCATGTGCATCCTGCAGGAAGCCCTCCTCCAAACCTCTGGACGGCATCTGGGCCCAGAATCAAGGCTTCCCAACCCTCTTGGGTGCCCTTTAACCCGGCCTGACTCTTTCGGGGCCGGAAGAGAAGTTTTCCTTGGGTATTTTTATAGACGGGGAAAGTCCAGGTGTTGTTTTCTGGTCCCTCGCGGTGCCTCCCCTGTGCCACACACAGGTCCCTCCCCCAGCTCGGGCTACCAGAAGCTTTGACTCAGCACCGGCTCCATCTGGCAGGGTACCTTCCCCAGGAAGCCCGCCAGCCCTGAGCACCATTATTCAGCCCAAGAGGCTCCCAGCAGGATTTCTGGCACAAATATCGAGCCAGCCACTATGGAGCTGCAGAGCTGTGACTTGAGGAAAGGCTGTCCTGGCCTTGAGCTCTTAAGAGGCAGCTCCGGAGGCCCAGGACACCTGGGCTAATCGGGGCAGGTCTCCGAGTCAGTACCGCTCAGCTTATACAGGTCCCCAGGTCCCACCTTTACTTCACCATTCTGGCCTCTCCTAAAAGAAATCAACATCCAGAGCCGGGCGTGGTGGCGCACACCTGTAATTCCAGCACTCAGGAGGCTGAGGCAGGAGGATTGTTGCGGGTTCGAGACCAGCCTGGGCTACAAAGTGAATCCAAGGCCCACCTGAACTGCATAGAAAGACCCTGTCTCAAAAAAAAAAAAAAAAAAAAAAAAGATTAAAAAACAAGAAATCAACTTCCAACGGGGCACAGTGGTGCACACCAGTAATCCCAGCACTCTCAGGAGGCTGAGGCAGGAGGATCACCATGAGTTCAAGGCCAGCCTAAACTACATAGTGAGGCCCTGTCTCAGAAAAAAAGGAATCAACTTCCTTGCAGTAAACAAAGACCACCTGTTCTCGCCTTTACTCTGCTTCTTTTCCATCATCTCTTGAGTGTCCTTGGTTGGCCTGTCCTGCTGCCTCAGAGTCCTGAATCAATTCAAAATGTTCCGTGTTCATGGTCATTTTGATTCTGGGGAAGAGCCAAAGTCGAATGGTGCAAGACTCGGTGACTGAGGTGGGTGAGGACCCGGCGTCTTGTTCTTACCAGCTGCCTTTCCAATGGGTGAGGCTCGGCAGCGCATCCACTGTATTTTTTCTTATCTCATCAAGACAGTCACGAAAGAAGACTCCAGAATGGCTGCAGGAAGAAGTCAGGGGCAGATGGACAGTATGGCTTGGCGGAGAGACAGCCTGACATCGGAGTGGGTGGATGCCTGCTTTCTGCCGGCGCACTCTTTGGTCTCGATCCCTCTGTGGGGTGGACCGGTGACCATGTGTGCCTCCCTTGCACCTTATACCCTTGCTGCAACAACCCTCAACGTACTTTCTTACTGACTGGTAAACTCCAGAGAAGCAGGAGTCACTGGTATGTGATTTATTCCTTCCCTCTCTGTCCTCATCAGCTAGCATGTGCCCACTACATGTTAACAAACAATATTTATTTTTTTTTAAAAAAATGCATTTGGCTTCTGGCAAGTGCAAGATCATGAGTTCAACTGCCAGTAACTAAAACAAATTTTTAAATGAAAAAAAAAATACAAAGGACAAAACACCCAACTGGAAGTTCTCAAAACCAGCAAGGTCATCAAACAGGGACTGAGAAGCTGCCAGGGTCATGAGAAGCCAAGAGATGGGAGGACCTGGGGTCATGTGGGATCTGGAACTGACAAAGAATGTGAAGTTTTAAAAAAAAAAACCCAAAGTAAAGAGACCTGGACACAGTGGGCACTGGCTGCCAGCAGTCTCCCATCTGGCTTATTAACGGCGACAGGAGGGCCACTCTGATGTAAGAAGCTAACTAGAAAGGTAGCTGGGTGTGGGACCTGGGGAACACTCCGTACTGCACAGCAGCTCTATAAAGCTAAAAGTTTTTGGAAATAAAGAGCATGAGAGAAAAGCACCCAGTGGCAGCACTCTGGTCCTCCCCGCTGTGGCCCAACCTAGACTGGGTTCCAACCACAACCTGTGGGTCTCAGTAAAGCCCTCACCGACCTCTGAGCGAACAAACGCTCTTGCCCCACAGCGAGAAACCTGAGTCCTCCTTCCACGATGCTGCCCACGCCGTGTTGCCACGTGTAAACTGTCTCTCTTCCCTCCGCGGGCCTCAGTTTACCCCTCTGGAGCTGAAGAGCTCCCCAAGTTGCTGCATGAAGACAGAGAAAGTATCTGGTAGTACTTCCAGCTCGTCAGTCAGCCCAGGCATGGAGCAGACTCCGAATCTCTGGGTTTGTTGAATGAATACACTATGCTACAGCTTGGATGTGTGTGGCCAGTGCAAGCCAACTCAGGTTAATTCCTCAACATGGCAGCCTCGAGAGGCAGAGCCCAGAGGGTGATCAGATCCTGGGATGCTTGTGACTGGGCTGATGGCTTTCTCAGGAGCCTGGGTGAAAGTCTGGTTGGAAGGAGTTAGGTCTCAGAAGACTGGGATTGCATGGAGCAGGTCATTATGGGGCAACGCCTCAGCCCCTCCCTTCTTCTCTCCCCTGGGAGCCTTTGCCACACTCAGCCCTCATGAGGCTCAGTGGGTGCTGGCACCGAGCTCATGGTCTCCAGACCTGTGAGCTACATAAAGCACTGGAAAATGCACTTAGACCACCAGAGAAGCAGTGCTCTGATGCTTTAACCGTAAGAGTTCCCCATCCCAAAATCTACTTTGAAGAGCTGTTTCCTCCAGGTCCTGTCCCGCAAACTGCCCACTCCCTGCAGCTGAGACCTCCATCCTGCCGTGCTGAGGGCCACCTTGGCTTCTGTGGGCTGGACACTGGATCTTCCAAGGGACTTGTGTGTCTCCTCACGGCATCTCCTGCCACTCAGCTCAGAGGGAGAGAGGGTCCAGAATGCCCACCTCCTGACTGGGGATCCCCTGGCAGAAGACTTAAAGGAAGACAGCTCCAGCTCAAGGGTGGCAGAAGCTGGAAGTCAGCAAAATCAAAACAACCCCCACCTCCACCCCACCCCCGCTCAGATATGGTGGCACATGCCTGCAACCACAGCTACTTGGGAAGCTGAGATAGGAGGATCCCAAGTTCAAGGCCAGCATGAGCAATTAGCCAGCTCCAGGCCCCAAATGACATTTAACCGGGCTGAGGGTGCAGCTCAGGGGTGCAGAGTTTGCCTGGCATGTGTGAGGCCCTGGGTCTAGTCTCCAGCACAGGGTGGTGGGGGGAGAGCATGGGGTGGCAGCTTCTGGGTGTCCGACCCACCAGACTTGTGGACTTTAGAGAGCATTTCAGCCCCTCATCCCCCAGGCAGACAACCCAAATCCAGCTCTCAGGCTCCACCTCCTTGGTCTTTGGCACCCACTTTATCCAGGCCTCACCCAGAAGCTATTTGGGACACCCAGATGGCCCTGATGACTGGGTGTCAGGGTGACACCCAGTGACCTGAACAGCTGTTCACTGCACAGCTGTTCACTGACCCCACCAGGACCAGTCCTCAGTCACCACCCCTGCACCCACCCAGCCTGCAGAAACTTCCGTGTGGCTCTGGCCTGATCTGTGTGGGACCCTCAAGTGAGAAGGACTGCAGGAAGGAGGGATCCCCAGGAGATGGCAAACTGATGGGCGATGGATGGATGGATGCATGGATGGACAGAAGGATGGACGGATGGACAGAAGGAAGGGTGGGCGGGCGTTCAGTCTGCCTCTGCGGGAGGCAGCACTGTAGTTTCTCCCCACCCGTCCTCTACCCTTGTGTGTCTCTGAGCTGAGCAGCCGCTGACTCTCAGCTTCCTTTCCCTCCCTATGCTTCCCTTCCCCGTGTCCACTTCCCCTGCTGCCCCCACTCTTCCTCTGCCGCCCACTCCCTCCTTGGGCTCCCACTGCCCCTGTCCCCTCCTCTGGAAGCTTCTGGAACTGAGCTTCAGGTTCTTCTCCTCCTCCTGGGACCTCCCCCGAGAAGAGGCTGTACACAGTGACACAACACACTTTATTGGATGAGACACAGGAACTGATGGGGTCGGGAAGCAGCAGGGACATCCTGAAGAGGTGAGGGGAGAAAGCCCAACTGCAGTCTCCTGGGTGCCCTGAGGGTGACCTGGTCACTGCGGGCATGGGGAAGGTTCTGGTCCCAAGGCAGGAGACCAAGTGAAGAGACCCTCCTGCCTCTGCTTCTGTAAGGGCTCCATCCCAGGTGGCCACACTGTCCTCGCTCATGGTGCCGGGGTCTTCCAGTTCCCACCACACTTGTCTTGTCCTCTGTTCCAGAGAGCTGGGACAAGTGCAGGATGTTCATGCCCTCCACCACTCTCCATGGCCCTGGCAGCACTGTCCTAAGGCCTCTCTGGTGGTGGGCACATCTCACCATCAGCCGTCACCGCTGTCCTGTCGTCACCACTGTCCTGTCACCGCTGCCCAGAGGCAGGAGGGGAACCCAGACCGCACCTCCTACCCCCTGACAAGCAGGGGATGGTGACCTTAGAAGCAGGAGTGGGGGAGGGGAACGCTCGCAAGGTCAGGGCTGGGGAGGGTGCTAAGCAGCACCCCCAGTAGGACCCAAGACTGGGGCTCCCTGCAGAGGACACAGCCTAACAGGGCACAGGCGCAGACCACGGACCAGCCGTCAGCCCCCACCCAATGGGGTGCGCTCACTGTGCCCTTCCTGCCCCCCCAACCCTTCTCTCCCAACCAACCGACTGGGAGGGAACTCATCCAAGCTCATTTCTGCTCGGCCTATGGTGCAGCTTTGCACAATTCCCAGGGTCCCAGCCCTGCTGGGCTCTGGCACCCAGAGCCCCCTGCCCCAGGAGGGGCGCTGAATAGGCGGACAGGAAGAGGCTCTTCCACCTGGCCTTGCTTCTCCCCGCCCAACCCCCACCCTACCCCTACCGCGGGGCAGCGGAACCGGGACGTCCAGCGGGCCGCAGCTTCCTCTGCTCCGGACGGCAGAGGCGGGAGGGGGCTGGGGCTGGGGCTGGGGCAGGGGAACTCCAGCCGAAAGCGCATCACCCCTGGGGTCCTCTGCCTCAGTGCCCTCAGCCAAGCTGGTCTCCAGAGCTCTGCGACTGCAGACACAGGGTCGGGGCTGATTCTCCGCTCACACAGCCCTGCCCCATCGCCGCCCCTCCAGCCATGCCCAGAGTCGCAGCAGACCCTCGGGAGCCCCGGGATCCTAGGCAAAGGTGGGGGGAGGGAGGGAGGGCCTGCGGGGTGCAGGGGCCAGGGAGAAGGGGCCAGCGCTGAGCGGCGCGAGGATCTCAGTGGGAAGCAAACACACCTGGCGGGGCAGGACTCACGCGTCCCCGAAGGAGGGGCTGCAGGACCCTCCCCCACTTCATACAAACGGGGAAACTGAGGCTCTGGAGGAGGAGGGGCGTTGCGAGATTTTGTACATAGGTGGGCTCTCGCCACTCAATCGCACACCTGTCCGCGGCCGCAGGGCGAGCCGGGGAGCCGGGACTGCTTGGCCGGACTAACCGGGTCCCAGGGGCCAGAGCCGGCCCCGGGCCACCTAGTCCACCACGAGGGTCTCCTGGCTGTAGGGGACAGACTTCTCCTGCATTGGCTCCCCGCCCTTGCCCGAGCCGGCGCCCAGGCCCTGGCTGTGCCCCGACGAGTAGCTGGCGGACCTGTCCCCGCTGCCGCTGCTGTGAGCGGGGACCCCGCACCTGTGGCGGCCCCAGCAGAGAACCGAGGCACAGGCCTGGCGGAAGCGCGGGTCGAAGAAGGCGTAGAGGAAGGGGTTGAGGCAGCTGTTGACATAGCTGATGCAGGTGCAGTAGGGGAAGATGTTCATGAGGAAGAGATCGAAGGCGCAGGGCCAGTGCAGCAGGCCGCCCAGCATGTAGAGCGTCTTGACCAGGTGGTAGGGCAGCCAGCAGAGCGCGAAGGTCACCACCAGCACCACGATGATGCTGAGCAGCCGGCGGCGCTTGCGCAGCCCCTCCACGCGCTCCTTGCGAAAGTGGCCGGCGATGGTCCGGGCGATGAAGAAGTAACAGGTGAGCATGACCGAGAAGGGCACCACGAAGCCCACGGCGGTGGACGAGATGCCCAGCCCCACCTCCCAGGCCCACTCAGACTCCACCGAGGTGGCCACCAAGGAGTAGTTCATGTAGCACTGCACGCTGGTGCCGTTGTCGGGGTTCCCGGTGGTGCGCAGCACCATGACCGGCACGGCCAGCAGCGCGGCCAGCACCCACAGCCCCACGGTGGTCACGGCCCCGCTGACCCGCAGCCGCATCCGGGCGCTGGCCACCGGCCTCACGATGGCCAGGTAGCGGTCGAAGCTGAGGCCAGTGAGGCAGAAGACGCTGGCGTACATGTTGACGAAGACCAGGTAGCTGCTGAGGCGGCAGGAGAAGGTCCCAAAGGGCCAGTCGTAGTCCCGGTACGTGTAGGTGGCCCACAGCGGCAGCGTCACCACGAAGGTCAGGTCGGCCACCGCCAGGCTGGCGATGAAGACGTCGGCCGAGCGCCGCTTCTCCCGGCCGCTCCGGAACACGGTCCACAGCACCAGGCCGTTGCCCGTGGTGCCCAGGAAAAAGACCAGCAGGTAGATGGCGGGGATGAGCTCGCCCGACGACTGCCAATCTGCGTACTCGCACTCCGACTGGTTGTCGGTCCCTAAGTAATAGTTGTCAAAATCGCCCTCTTCCTCCGAGCCGGGGACAGGCGTGGTGGCGGCCAGGGCTCCCGGGGTGGCCAGCGCCATGGCACCGGTGTCTCGGGCTGGCGGGTTGCAGCGGGAGCTTCAGGAGCTCGACGCCTTCCCGGCTCAGCTTGCAGGAGGAGCCCCGACGCCTTCCCGGCTCAGCTTGCAGGAGGAGCCCCGGGTGTCCCCGTCCCGCCGCTGTGCCTCACCCTCTCCGGGACGCGTCCTCGGCCCTCCAGAGTCCTCCCCGGCCACCTCCTCACGCCGAGCCACAGCCCGCTTTTTTGTTGTCCTCCGCCTTCTCCTGCCCACCGGACGAGGAGACCGCACTGACCCCCGCGGCGGGCGGGGTACAGAAGTTATCTGCGCCCAGAGCCCGCGACGGCTCCCGGCCCCGCCCCCTCCTCGGCCGCCACCTCCTTCTTCCGCCGGACCCCACCCCTCCTGCCTGCCCTTTGGGGAGCTCCCTACTCCTCCTCTCAGTCCCTCCCAGCCCCTTGCAAGGGGACAAATTATGCAGATTGAAATCCAGCCTGGCCTGCAGCAGTGGCGGGGGTAGGGGCAGGGGCAGGGGCGGGGCGGGGCAGGAAGGGTGTGAGATTCCGCAGCACCGGCGGGGCATCTGGCCGGCCCTCCTGGGGGCCCTGCTGGGGCCTCCTGCCCCCCCACCAGCCCAGACCGACTTCACACTAGGGCTCCCTTCCTGCCCCTCCTGGCCTCCTGTGTCCTTTTCCTCCCCTTGGCTTCGGCCTTCTGTCCTGGCTCACAGGCTGGAGAAGCGAACCGTCCCCATCCTCAGCTGCCCGCAGATGGCTGGGCCAGTTGGCAGTGACGCAGAAGCTTTCACAAGGTGGGGACCCAGTCACCAGAAGAGAGACTCTTGACAAATGATCCTTAGCAAAATCTCTGGGGAAACTGAGGCTCCACAAGGCAACTGTGGAGCCTTGCCTGAGCCAAGGAGGGGGTCTGCCATGGTGGGCTCTTTGGTTTTCTACTCTACCCCAAGCACACACGGACCTGGGTGCAGCTGGCGAGCACTGAATGATTGCTGAGTGAATAAACTGCTGGATGAATTGAGGAGGAAGGGTCAGGTCCACAGAGAGAGAAACTAGCTTGCTGATGACTGTGTGCTGGGAACAGGGACACATTTCAGTCTGGGGGCTTCTATGGTCTCTGTGGAACTGGAGAGGAGGGACAGGGCGTTGTGGCAGAGGAAGAGGCAGCCACTAGGTGGGTGCTGTGGTCCCCAGACTCACACTGCCACTCACCTCTGGGCAGGAAGGAGGGGAGGGAACCAGGGACAAGGTTCAAATAAGCGCCTCTCCAGCACCCAGCGGGGCAGGCAGCTAGAGTTAAACTGCACAGAAAAGAAGAGAAGAGATGGACAGAAGTGAGGACCCGAGAATGATATGGGGAGAGAAGCTCTCGGCCTACTAGATGTCCAGGGTGAGTTCATGTTCTCTAAAACTGAAGAATGAATTTTAGGAACAATGGCGGTTAAGAGCAGAAATATTTATTGAAAGAAAGAAAGCTTCTGTCTGAGATAGAGACAGAAGGGGTCCTGAGGACCTTACCTTTTTTAGGATTTTTATAGAGCAAAACCCCAAGGTGAGGCGGGTCTTGAAAGGATTTTGCCCCAGATGGGACACTGTAGCCAGTGGGAGGCTGGGAGGCGGAACCAAGGGGCTCTATCTTGAGGTCACCTTTCCCGCCCCTAGGCAATTTACCTGTGGTCCGAAATGAGTTCCAATGGGCTACCTGTGCCTCAGTAATGCCCCTTAGGCTCCACCCCAAACCTAAGCTACGCGGATGCCCCCACACCACATGTGGGGCGGAGAGATTGCCAGACCCCGGAGGGTCATGCAGTCTCTCTCCACATTCTTAAACTAAAGGCCACTTTTATTTCATACTTTTTATCCTTTTAGCTGCACTGAAAATTCTATCAGGTCCAAAGTGAGGAAAAATGGGAACTTGGAAAGAGGGCATGAGCTGGGATAGAACTGTGCTCAACCAATAAGATCGTGAGTATAATTGCACAGGTAAAATTGATTAAATCAGAAACAAATGGGGCAGCCAGTCATGTAGCAAGCGGGTATAAACATAGAACAGGGATCCTTCCACAGGAGATTGGGTTAGCAGCTCCTTCTGGCTTCCTCAAGGTGACAGAGACCTATTTAGAATATCAGTCCCTGATGTTTATCCTTAGGGTGTGTGTATTTGTTTTATCTTTTGTTTTGAGGTCTGGCTTCCCTCACAATTGCAGGGAATCTGGGCTTCTGCACTGGCTCCTTTGAGGATCCAGCCCTGTCTGACTGCCTGTGATATTTCCGTCTAACTCAGCTGCCTGTAACATTCCCCCCTCTGAAGAAACACCCTGCACTGCCGTGAGGGAGGAATGGGTGATGACTGATCTGGCTTCTTCGGACTGAAGAGGGTTGTAGGTCTCCTTTGGCAGGCAGGGATACTCTGCAGAAGGTCTATCGAAAGGCCCTCGATAGACACCAGACATTTTCATCTTGGGTAGGAACACAGCTTTAAGTTTGGAGGCGACAAAGGCAGAGAAACAACTAAGTATGCATGGGCCAAATAGTAGAAATAATAGGATAATTTTGAGTACAACTAACAAAGATTTCCACCAAGAGGAGCTAGTCATGGCTTCCTAGAAGGAGGATAAGGATAAGGGCCAAGCAATTTTAGAGTCTTACATGTCACTGATTTGTCATCTAATATCTTTAACAGCTACTGAGATATTAACAGAAGGATCAGGAATGTACACACAGCATTTAGTTTTTACAGTGGCACCAGTGCCCTCTGTGCAGCTGTTAGCATGTCTAATGGCTTCCAGTTTTGGAGGATGACTTGTCTGATTACTTTTACTTTTTTATTTAGGAGCGAGGCCAGCTGAGGTGTCATTTAGGACCCACTGAGTATAGTTCATTAAGGCCTCAGTATGTGTCGTATAACCTTTTATCGGGACAAGATCTGGTGGATCCCAGTAAAAGCATATTTGTTATTGGCTTTACTTTTATGGTTATTTAAGGTTTGGCATCTTCTACGCAAGAACAAATTTTCTGAAAAATTAGAGCATGTAAGATCAAAGCATGAGCAGTAGAGCTGATGAGTAAGTTTAGAACCTGTTTTTAAGGGATAGCAATTGTAATCCACTGGCTCTGAGGCCTCTTTATTGATGGGGTTTGCCACTTTGTCATAAATCCCTGGAGCCTTGGTAACAATTATCTCTAAATTTTTGATAACATATAAAAGCCAGAATAATGCATTATTTTGACCAATGAGAAACTATCTTGTTATTTTTTTACACAAATAATATGTGAAAAACCAGTCTCAGTATCACGTTGATTAGTTGGAAAGCTGGCTGTATGTTACAGTATTTAGTCAGGATAAAATCTCTCCAGGATGGGCTTTGAGGCATAGCTACAAGGAATGGGTGAAGAGAAAGTTACCCTGGTTACAGCCTAAGCAAGATGTTTTTTGGTGACTGTTTTTATTGAAGTACAATGCCTAGAAGGCTAGAGTTGGAGAAGGACAAAGAGATACTTGCCAGTGTCTAGTAATACACTGGTTTTTCCTCTAGTCTACATTACTCAAGGCTCCTCCATAGAGTTGCGGTCTGGCCAGAGGAAGGAGATGAGTGTCTCCCACCACTATCATGGGTGCCCCGAGGCCTTTCAGTCCTGCTGGACCACCTGGGAAGAAGAATCTGCACTCCAGGGCCTCTGCCTGAGTGCAGTTTTTAAGATAGCCTGGCTTCCTAGTGTAAGAAATGGTAAGAGTACCTAAGAGTTTATAGTAACTATGATTCCCCATTACATTGCTCTGAAGCTTTATAATGTCTGCATTCATTGGTTGGAATGGTTTTATCCTGGTTTGTTTGATTTTATCATCTGTGATAGCATAAGCAGCTATTTTAAAGAAAAAAAGCATTAGAATAGCCAGTGCTGATTTAGTTTCATCTTACTCTGAAGTCCTACTATGCTTTTGTTTTTTCTGTTTCCTTTGGTTCTATCTTGTTGTATCTTATTGGATATTATTATGTGTGATAGTATAAACAAATTTTCTATGGAAAGTGAGATAATATAGTAGCCATTATTCGTTCTCTGCTATTTGGTTCTGAAAGTCCTGTAATGCTTTCATTCTCTGGAATGCTTTTATACTGTTTTGTTATGTTTGATACTATTGTATATGAATACAACTATTTCAACTATGTCAAAGAAAGAGACACTATGGTGGTTACTGTTAATTATGGGTTGTCTTGTGGTAAAATGCTGTGTTACTTGCATTGCTCTGATGATCTGCTTTGTTATATCCTCTTTTAATCTTTTTAAAATTAAAAAAAGTCAAAAACAATAACAAAAAAAAGATGGCCTGGCTTTCCACAGTAGCAGCCGCTGGGTCTCAGCACTGAGCTCTTCTTGGAGCCCTGAGAATCAGACTTTAGATCTGTTTCTTTCAAGGCTGCTAACAGGGCAGCTACTTTTTGGTCTCTTTCCCAGTCTCGATTATAGAATACTAAGAACGCAGTTTTTACTAAAGTATGAAGTGAACTATCTGGAGCAAAAGTTACCTTTTGTAACTTTTTTTCTAATATCTGTGGTTGACGGGGTAATAAACATGTCTTTAAGCAAAATCTTTCCGATTATTGAATCAGGATCTAGGGAAGTATGTTTTACTAGTGCCTCTAGTAAATGATCTAAAAAGGCAGAGGGGTTTTTCTCTTGGAAAACAGATGACAATCTAAAATAATTAGAGGGCTTGGGTTGTGTTCTGCTTAGACCTTCAAGAATATGCACTTGAAAATGTCTGCTGCTCCAATCTCCTGTCTTGCTGTCAGGCCAGCACGGGTGTTGGTCAAGAACTGCTTGTGCCCCGGTGGGAGCTGGTGGTTCCCCTGCTGTCTATCTTCTGGCCTTCTAAAATTAGCGATACTTATCTCCAAATGTAATGGCAGCCTGTAATGCTGCCTGTCTCTCACTACAAGTCAATGTTTGGTTTAAGATTAATATTACATCTTTCCAGCCTAGCTTGGAGGGCTGAGTAAACCCTCTACAGACATTGATGTACTTATCAGGCTCATCTGAGAATTTTCCTAGTTCTCACTTGATTTGCTTTAAGTCACTGAGAGAAAGAGACCTATGAATGGCAGTAGGATCATACAGATTGCAATTATACCTTGAGCATAAATAAGAATTATTTCTTAATGTAAAAGAAGTTTGAACGTAAAGCAATTTTGACCATTCTTCCTCTTTCATCCAGTGTGACTTCAGTTATAAAAGAACATCATAATTAATACTTCCCTCTGTATTCCATTTTGGCTCTAGGGGATAGGTAGGCCATGCACTCGTGCAGAAAAATATTAAATGGCTCTTTTTCAACATGGAAGGGTTGA